CAATGAAAATCCTATAATCCTAAAAAAGCTATAAAACATATGTTTGTCAATATGCTATCAAACTAGAAACATAATATCTAACTAACTAAACCTAGAAATCTAACTAATATATACTTTGAAGAAAAAAAGTTGTCCATTGTTCTCTTATCTTGATGATCTCATCTTCGGGCAATGGAGATGGATCTTGAAAGACCTGAAACATTAATTTAAGTGTCATTAATATGCAATGTTAATTATCCTAAAGGTAAATATACTTAAATAAATTTTGATATGAATTAACTGCGCCCAAGAATCAGTAATACCCGCAGAAACTATGGCTCTCATCCAATACATGATGTAATAGCCACATTCAAACGAGTCTTGTTGCTTATTACACTAAAATGAGAAACAAATAACTATTATTTCCAAAGTCAATAAATTTAAATATTATTGACTGTATGAATTAATTTGCTAACCTTAGGGTATATGAAATGCAATGACTTTGATGATCTGGCTCTTCCACTTAAAATATTAGCTCCAGACACGATTCTAATTAATTGAAATAAAAACAAATGTTAGCCAATATATATAATTACAATTTTAAAACATAATGAAAAAATTTAGTTACCCTTATAATTGGTATTTAATTAATTTCGTGGCTTGGTTTTCGATGTAGTGAACAAAACCACACCACGGTGTATTCCTTAGGAATGATTACCATTAATTGCCAATGGGACCTACATTGTATGACAAACAAATTAGTTATAAAATTACCATGATTAAAAAACCAATTAAAAAACTAACCCGTCAATGTATGGAGCCATGTATATATCTCTTCCTGAGTCAGTCATCCATGTTTGCATATATTGCTGGATCTGGACCTGAGTGTTTCCTGATTTTTGGATGGATTGAGGCTCAATAAATCCATACACTTGTGCTTGTGCTTGCTCCACGCCTCCACACTCAATTTGTCCATGTACCTAACACAAATAATTATTATAAGTTAAATGTAATTATTGTAAATTTAGACTCATAAAAGAAAATATGACTTACATGGCCCACAACTGTATGATAGATATATTTAACATGGAGTTTCCCCTAACAATCTCTAATGCATCAGGCAGAGATATGTATAGTGGAACATCAGAGCTATCAACTCCAAAAACTCTAATGTCCCACTGCAATTAAATTGGCTTCTTCTTTAATTGTGGTAATATGGTTAGAAGCTTAGATGTGGGGTCATCCTCAGCTTCTGTATTAGCATGATCAACATGAGGTTCTCTCATGACCTCCTTACCACGATTGATAAAATCCTAAAGAAATAATCAAAATTAGTTAAACAATAATAGAATTATAAGAATATAAAAGAGCATATAATATAATTACCTTTGCCCGTGCTGAAAATGCTTTTACTACCCCTTTGGAGAAAGTCCTAATCAATATGGTTGAATACCTCCATGAGGAAGAAGATAGAGAGATTGAGGCATGTCTGAAGAGCCTTGACTCATATAAGGAGGTGACACCGGATTCAGTGCACATGGAAGATTCGAAGGAGGAAGGGGAGGTGATTACCCTGAAGCTTGAGTTGAAAATACTCCCTTCTCATCTCAAGTATGTGTTTCTAGAAGAAGGTGGAAGCAAGCCGGTTATCATAAGTAGCTCCTTATCCACATTGGAGGAGGAGAGGCTTGTGAGAGTGTTGAAGTTTTATCAAGGGGCAATTGGTTGGTCTATTTCTGATCTCAAGGGAATTAGCCCAGCCTATTGCATGCATAAGATATTTATAGAGGATGAGTACAAACCGGTTGCTCAACCATAGAGGAGACTTAATTCTGTCATGAAGGAGGTAGTGAAGAAGGAAGTCATTAAGTTGTTGGATGCCGGGATAATCTACCCTATCTCTAATAGTGCATGGGTGAGCCCTGTACAGGTGGTGCCAAAGAAGGGTGGCATGACGGTTATCCAGAATGAGAAGAATGAGTTAATTCCTTCTAGGACCGTCACAGGGTGGAGAATGTGTATTGATTATCGGAAGCTCAACAAGGCTACTAGGAAGGATCATTTTCCACTCCCATTCATGGATCAGATGCTTGAGAGATTAGCTGGCCAAGCATACTATTGTTTTCTTGATGGGTATTCAGGCTACAACCAGATTGTGGTGGATCCGGAAGATCAAGAGAAGACCGCTTTCACATGTCCTTTTGGTGTCTTTGCTTATCGGAAGATGCCATTTGGACTGTGCAATGCTCCTGCAACATTTCAACGATGCATGTTAGCCATATTCTCCGACTTGGTGGAAAAGAGCATTGAGGTCTTCATGGACGATTTTTCTGTATTCGGGCCTTCATTTGACGAGTGCCTGACCAATCTTGAAGTGGTGCTTAGAAGATGCTTGGAGACCAACCTTATCCTCAACTGGGAAAAATGCCATTTCATGGTGACCGAGGGGATAGTCTTGGGGCACAAGATCTCTCACAAGGGCATTGAAGTTGACCCTGCCAAAGTGGAGGTAATAGAAAAACTCCTTCCGCCCATCAATGTTAGAGGTATTAGGAGTTTCTTAGGGCATGCTGGCTTTTACAGGCGATTCATAAAAGATTTTTCAATGATAGCCAGACCCCTAAGCAATCTTCTAAACAAAGACACTCCTTTTTGTTTTAATGATTCTTGTCTGAAAGCTTTTGAAGCTTTGAAGGCTAGACTTACCTCTGCACCCATAATCACTGCACCGGACTGGAAACTAGATTTTGAACTCATGTGTGATGCTAGTGATTATGCGGTTGGGGCAGTCTTAGGCCAAAGGAGGGCTAAAACTTTTCATGCCATTCACTATGCTAGCAAGGTTTTAAATGAGGCACAAATCAATTATGCCACCACTGAAAAAGAGTTGCTAGCCATAGTGTTTTCATCGAAAAAGTTTCGATCCTATTTGATCATGAATGACAGACTAGCAGAAATGAAGCCTGCACTTCTACAGCTTATCAGCTCTCATCAATTTTCTGGCCTGGATCATGAAGACCCACATACTCATTTCTACACTTTCTATGAGTTGTGTGGTTCAGTTGGAGTTTCTGGGGCTGATGAAGAGGCGCTATTCATGAGGTTGTTTCCATTTTCTCTGAATGGGAAGGCTAAGGCTTGGCTTCATTCTTAGCCAAACCAAAGCCTGATCACTTGGAGGGATGTGGAGACTAAATTCTTAGCCAGGTTCTTTCCCCCGTCCAAGAACACTGAAGCTAGAACTGCTATTGCTACTTTTGCTCAAGGTGCGGATGAGCCATTATGTGAAGCGTGGGAAAGGTACAAATCACTGTTGAGGAGGTGCCCCAATCATGGTTTTGAGTTGGAGCATCAAGTTCAAACTTTCTGTAATGGGTTACAACCTCAAACCAAGATGATATTGGACGCTTCTTTTGGAGGGTCAGTCATGTTTAGAACTGCTGAAGAGGCTATCACAATCATTGAGTCCATGGCTTCCACTGATTTTAGGAGCCAGCATGCTAGAAGCTCTTCACCCAAGAGAGGAGTTTTGGAGCTGAGCACTCAAGATGCAGTGTTAGCTCAAAATAAGATACTTTCCCAACAGATTGAAGCCTTGAATCAACAGATGGCCAAGCTTCCTCAACAACTTCAAGCTATGCACTCTAATGCTCCTCCTATGCAACAAGTTATGGCATGTGATTTTTGTGGAGGTGACCACCCTAATGGTTATTGTGCCGGATCATCTAATTCCCAAGGTGAAGAAGTGAATTATATGGGGAATCAAGGGCGGCAAAATTTCTCTCAACACCCCTATCCGCAAAATTCAAATCAGGGGTGGAGAAATAACTATGGTGGAAACAAGCCAAAATTGTACAGTTAGACATGATACCCACAGGATCTATCAAATACTTGTCATACTCCTCATCTGTGTATTTGATTACGTCAACGGATTGCACCACAGCCAGTAAACTAACATTAAATCATAAAAAAAGACGATGATGCCCAAAACTAAATTCAGAAATAAAGCAATGCAAGACATGCATGAAGACAGAGTAAACTCGCATTTACCTTATTATACCTTAACGGTTTGTGATTGAGGATTATGGATGCGAAGGATATCCTGGGTTTGCCCAAAAACTCATTTCCACCTCTCGAGAAGAAGTCTCGACCTCCCAAAGAGTCTCAAAGAAAACCAGATGGCATTTCGCGCGAGGTACCTATCTTTTTCAATTGCAACAATACCAAAGTTACATTCTCTATTTTCTTTATGGTTACTGAATTCAATTCAATTGTATTGTATTTGTAGGTTTATGAGCTCACCGGTTGACTCGCACCTCTTATGCCTGCAATTGAAGCTTCTCAATTGAAGAAACTTTTGCATCTTTCCGAACACAATGTTAATGTTCTTCACCCTCTGATATACTTTTCACCATTGCGCGGTGTCGAGGAAATTTCATCCTCCTGACATCCATTGAATGCTTTCTTCAATCTACGGTATGGATGACTACGAACAAGAAACTTACGATGCCTAGTGTACGTAGTCTTTTGCCCATATTTCAATTGGGTATAACATGTGTTTTCTTCACATATAGGACATGCATAATGACCCTTCACACTATACCCACTCAAGTTACCATATGCTGGAAAATCATTTATTGTGAAAAATCATTTTCCTGGTTGTCGGGGTCCTGATATATACAACATAATATATTTTCTCTTCATGCATAGCCAAGGAGGAAAATTGTAAATGACCAACAAAACTGGCCATGAACTGTGTTTATGTCAAGTCTCAATTATACCTCTTTTTGATTGAGACTTAGTGAACTAATCCATTCATCCTCTAAACTATTACAATATAATTGTTCCCTTTTTGACTCATTTTTTGTGCAGATATAGCTAACCCAGAACTTAGCTAACAATACCCTAATATACCTCATTTTTGTGCAGGTATTGAGCTAGAGAATTGAGGTTTGAAGACCCTTAGGATTGGAAATCTAAGGAGCTAAGGAGTAGAGTAGAGTGGCAGCGCCGGGCGCAAGATGACCCGCGCTGGGCGTGAGAAGAACAGAGTGCCTGATCCTTGGAAGCTAGGTATGCGCCGAGCGTGAGACTACCCACGTCGGGCGTGATCGAGACAAGGAGTGCTTGAAACTCTCTGGAAGACATCGCGCTGGGCGTAAAAGGAAATTGCGCCGGGCTTACACTGAGGCAGAAAGTGCTCAAAAGACCCTGCGCCGGGCGCGAAGACTTACGCACCGGGCGCGAAACCCTAATCTGATCTCCCCAAGCTCGTATTTGAAGCCATTTTCGAGGGTTTCTCCCTCATTCACACAATGGGCGCATTTTAGAAGCTGTGGAAGGGATTCTCGGAGCTTGGAGTCATTCGTGTGTGGGTCTTTCCTTCGGTTCTTCATTTCTCCTTTCATCTCTATTTTGTATTTACCCTCATTGTTGAGTGGTTCCACCCATTTTTTGTGGGGTTAGATGTAACCAACGTACTCTATTGTAATCCTTACGTTTTTAATGATATATACATGTTGTTTCATTCATTGTTGTGTATGTTTCTATTCTTAATGCTTGCTTTGGATTGAATCTCCTTGCATGATATAGGTTCCATTGGGTATTGGAAAATAACCTTTGAAACTAGCTCTGAAACAAATGCCTAGTGGGAAATGTATCTAGGAATGGAGCTTGGCCCATTAGTAGTCTTAAATCCTAGCCCGTAATGCGGGTGTAGATATTGGATACTCAAGGAATTTATATTCAATATCCGTACCTAGGCTCTTGCTCTAAGGGATTAGGTTTGAGTAAACTATTGGGTTGACTAAGCAATGAATTTAACAAGAGATTAAGGATTCATTAGTCTGACGTTCAGCGAAATCAGACCCCACAATCTCACAAAAACCATAATATCATTTCTACCCTTTTCCACTCACAACAAATATTTTATAGCTTTTATTCCAATAGTCATAACTTTTTGATTCAACTTGCATGACAAACTATGAATTTGGAATTTTTCTTTAGTCACGAATAGTCAATAAATGCTTATGTTACCTTCTAATCCCTGTGGATACGATAATTTTACTACTTGAACGGCCGGTATACTTGTCGTGTTTGAGACCGTTGACAAAACAAAAGTAATTTAAAGTGATAACAAAAGTGGTTTTAACGGAATTCTCAACAAGATTTTGGCGCTGTTGCCGGGGATTAGCAAGGCAATTTAGTATTTATAGCTATTTGTGACTTGTTCCTTTACTTTTATTGCTAATTTTCGCAAATGAATTCTTTGGGTTGACTTGTGCACTCTAGTCTTTTGTTTTCTCTTGTATGCAAGGTACTATTCAAACCAGAGGTACAAATTCTTCTGAGCCACTGTTGAACGATCCTGAGATTGAACGCACGGCAATGAGGAATAATAGCAACAGGAGAAGAAGGAGGGCTAGAGCAAATCCAGTTGGCCAACCAACCACTTGGATTCCTGAAGTTATTGTCTCTAACATTCCTGAGTTCACTATGGAAGGTGAAGGTGGTGCTCACAATGACAATCAAAACCGGAGGCGCACTATAGGTGATGCTTTAACCTACACTAGCTCGAGGGAGTTCTCTAGCATTGTGAGGCCTACCATGAATGACAGACTAGCAGAAATGAAGCCTGCACTTCTACAGCTTATCAGCTCTCATCAATTTTCTGGCCTGGATCATGAAGACCCACATACTCATTTCTACACTTTCTATGAGTTGTGTGGTTCAGTTGGAGGACCCACATACTCATCTCTACACTTTTTATGAGTTGTGCGGTTCAGTTGGAGTTTCTGGGGCTGATGAAGAGGCGCTATTCATGAGGTTGTTTCCATTTTCTCTGAATGGGAAGGCTAAGGCTTGGCTTCATTCTTAGCCAAACCAAAGCCTGATCACTTGGAGGGATGTGGAGACTAAATTCTTAGCCAGGTTCTTTCCCCCGTCCAAGAACACTGAAGCTAGAACTGCTATTGCTACTTTTGCTCAAGGTGCGGATGAGCCATTATGTGAAGCGTGGGAAAGGTACAAATCACTGTTGAGGAGGTGCCCCAATCATGGTTTTGAGTTGGAGCATCAAGTTCAAACTTTCTGTAATGGGTTACAACCTCAAACCAAGATGATATTGGACGCTTCTTTTGGAGGGTCAGTCATGTTTAGAACTGCTGAAGAGGCTATCACAATCATTGAGTCCATGGCTTCCACTGATTTTAGGAGCCAGCATGCTAGAAGCTCTTCACCCAAGAGAGGAGTTTTGGAGCTGAGCACTCAAGATGCAGTGTTAGCTCAAAATAAGATACTTTCCCAACAGATTGAAGCCTTGAATCAACAGATGGCCAAGCTTCCTCAACAACTTCAAGCTATGCACTCTAATGCTCCTCCTATGCAACAAGTTATGGCATGTGATTTTTGTGGAGGTGACCACCCTAATGGTTATTGTGCCGGATCATCTAATTCCCAAGGTGAAGAAGTGAATTATATGGGGAATCAAGGGCGGCAAAATTTCTCTCAACACCCCTATCCGCAAAATTCAAATCAGGGGTGGAGAAATAACTATGGTGGAAACAAGCCAGATATGAATGCTTCATCAAGTAGTAGGCCTCAACATCAACACCAACATCCACCTTTGTATGAGAGAACCACCAAGTTGGAAGAAACATTGCAACAATTCATGCAATTGTCTATGTCCAACCAAAAGAACACTGATGCTTCAATTAAAAATCTGGAGATACAGGTGGGGCAAATAGCAAAGCAGCTAGCAGAGTAGCAAAAAGGATCTTTCTCAGCCAACACCGAGCAAAACCTGAAGGGGCATTTGAATGTTGTATCTACAAGGAGTAGTCGGGAGTTTGTGGTGAAGGAGAGTGAGAAGAAGAATGAGAGCGAAGAAAAAATTGACACAGGTGTAGATGATGATGCTCGTGTTGATGAAGAGATCATCTTGGAGGGCCCAGGAGTATGGAGAAGGAGTGAAGGAAGTGAGTTGGTTGATGAAAATAAAAAGAAAGATGAAAATGCCAAAAAGAATGAGAAAGAAAAAGAAATTGAAAAAGAGATAGAAGGAGTCAGTAGAGAAAAGAAGAAAGCACCCATGGAGGAGAGGAGTATTGTGAAGGTGCCACCCACCAAGAGCTTACCATATCCTCATGCACCTTCAAGAAGGGATAAGGAGAGGCAATATGCTCGGTTCTTAGAGATTTTCAAGACCTTGCAGATCAACATTCTGTTCTCCGAGGCATTAGAGCAAATGCGTACATATGCCAAGTTTATGAAGGAGCTCCTCACCAAGAAGAGAAAATATTTTGAAGAGGAGACCATTACATTGGAGGCGGGGTGTAGTGCTATCATTCAGAAGATGTTTCCAACAAAATCCAAGGACCCTGGTAGTTTCACTCTCCCAGTCACTATTGGGAGTTTAGCTATTGGGAAGGCTTTGCTTGATTTGGGGGCTAGCATCAATCTCATGCCCTTATCAATGCTTCAGAGGATTGGTGATTTGGAGGTGAAGCCTACTCGCATGACTTTGCAGTTGGCGGATCGATCTGTGAAGTATCCTCATGGCATTGTGGAGAATGTTCTGGTGAAGGTGGACCGTTTCTTGTTTCCCGCTGATTTCGTGGTGATGGATATTGAAGAGGACGTTGATGTACCTCTCATTCTTGGCCGACCATTCATGAAGACCGCAAGAGTTCTAATTGATGTGGATGATGGGAAGCTTAAGGTGAGAGTGAATGATGAAGAAGTCAATTTTGATGTTCTTGATGCCATGCACTACCCCAAGGACAAGAGCAGTTGCTTCCGGATTGATGTAATTGATGGCCTTGTTGAAGATACTAGGAAGCATATCTCTTTTACTACCCCTTTGGAGAAAGTCCTAATCAATATGGTTGAATACCTCCATGAGGAAGAAGATAGAGAGATTGAGGCATGTCTGAAGAGCCTTGACTCATATAAGGAGGTGACACCGGATTCAGTGCACATGGAAGATTCGAAGGAGGAAGGGGAGGTGATTACCCTGAAGCTTGAGTTGAAAATACTCCCTTCTCATCTCAAGTATGTGTTTCTAGAAGAAGGTGGAAGCAAGCCGGTTATCATAAGTAGCTCCTTATCCACATTGGAGGAGGAGAGGCTTGTGAGAGTGTTGAAGTTTTATCAAGGGGCAATTGGTTGGTCTATTTCTGATCTCAAGGGAATTAGCCCAGCCTATTGCATGCATAAGATATTTATAGAGGATGAGTACAAACCGGTTGCTCAACCATAGAGGAGACTTAATTCTGTCATGAAGGAGGTAGTGAAGAAGGAAGTCATTAAGTTGTTGGATGCCGGGATAATCTACCCTATCTCTAATAGTGCATGGGTGAGCCCTGTACAGGTGGTGCCAAAGAAGGGTGGCATGACGGTTATCCAGAATGAGAAGAATGAGTTAATTCCTTCTAGGACCGTCACAGGGTGGAGAATGTGTATTGATTATCGGAAGCTCAACAAGGCTACTAGGAAGGATCATTTTCCACTCCCATTCATGGATCAGATGCTTGAGAGATTAGCTGGCCAAGCATACTATTGTTTTCTTGATGGGTATTCAGGCTACAACCAGATTGTGGTGGATCCGGAAGATCAAGAGAAGACCGCTTTCACATGTCCTTTTGGTGTCTTTGCTTATCGGAAGATGCCATTTGGACTGTGCAATGCTCCTGCAACATTTCAACGATGCATGTTAGCCATATTCTCCGACTTGGTGGAAAAGAGCATTGAGGTCTTCATGGACGATTTTTCTGTATTCGGGCCTTCATTTGACGAGTGCCTGACCAATCTTGAAGTGGTGCTTAGAAGATGCTTGGAGACCAACCTTATCCTCAACTGGGAAAAATGCCATTTCATGGTGACCGAGGGGATAGTCTTGGGGCACAAGATCTCTCACAAGGGCATTGAAGTTGACCCTGCCAAAGTGGAGGTAATAGAAAAACTCCTTCCGCCCATCAATGTTAGAGGTATTAGGAGTTTCTTAGGGCATGCTGGCTTTTACAGGCGATTCATAAAAGATTTTTCAATGATAGCCAGACCCCTAAGCAATCTTCTAAACAAAGACACTCCTTTTTGTTTTAATGATTCTTGTCTGAAAGCTTTTGAAGCTTTGAAGGCTAGACTTACCTCTGCACCCATAATCACTGCACCGGACTGGAAACTAGATTTTGAACTCATGTGTGATGCTAGTGATTATGCGGTTGGGGCAGTCTTAGGCCAAAGGAGGGCTAAAACTTTTCATGCCATTCACTATGCTAGCAAGGTTTTAAATGAGGCACAAATCAATTATGCCACCACTGAAAAAGAGTTGCTAGCCATAGTGTTTGCATTGGAAAAGTTTCGGTCCTATTTGATTGGTTCCAAAATGGTTGTGTTCACAGATCATGCAGCCATTAAGTATTTACTCACCAAGCCGGATTCCAAGCCAAGACTCATAGGTGGATTCTTCTACTTCAAGAATTTGATTTGGAGATCAAAGATAAGAGTGGCAAGGAGAATCTGGTTGCTGACCACCTCTCAAGGCTCATAAATGATGAGGTGACCTTGAAGGAGAGGGAGATCTTGGAGGAGTTTCCTGATGAGAAACTGTTTATGGTGCAAGAGCGGCCTTGGTTTGCTGACCTGGCAAACTTCAAGGCAGCTGGAGTTATCCCTGAAGATTTCACATGGCACCCGAAAAAGAAGTTCCTCCGAGATGCTACCTACTACGTGTGGGATGACCCTCACTTGTTCAAGATTGGTGTAGATGGCCTACTGAGAAGGTGTGTGTCAAGAGAGGAGGCCAAGAGTATTTTGTGGCACTGTCACAACTTTCCTTATGGAGGACATTTCAATGGGGAGAGGACAGCTGCCAAGGTGCTTCAAGCTGGATTTTACTGGCCAACACTCTTCAAAGATGCCCACAGTCATGCCAAGCAGTGTGACAGTTGTCAGAGGGCCGGAGGAATCACAAGGAAGCATGAGATGCCCTTACAGAACATGCAGGAAGTTGAGGTGTTTGATTGCTGGGGCATAGATTTTGTTGGTCCACTGCCTTCTTCCTTCACAAATGAGTACATTCTTGTGGTAGTGGACTATGTCTCAAAATGGGTTGAAGCCATTGCTACACCCAAGGCGGATGGCAAAACAGTTGTAAAGTTCCTCAAGAAGCACATATTCAGCAGATTTGGTACTCCCAGAATACTTATCAGTGATGGAGGTTCACACTTCTGTAATGCTCAGCTGGAGAGGGCTCTAGAACACTATGGAGTCCATCATAAGGTTGCCACTGCCTATCACCCTCAAACCAATGGGCAAGTTGAGGTCTCTGACAGAGAGATCAAGAGTGATGGAATACTTGTTGAGAAACCGGATTGTTGTTGACTCCTCTTCAAGTTCCTCCCTAGATCTTTGGCTCCTTGATTCTTCCTAGGCTTGGCTAAGGTCTCCAATGGAGGAGGAGACCTTAGAACCACCACGGTTTGGTAGAGAACACTCCCAAGAGGTGCCACTCCTTGATGAAGAGATAAGCCCCTTCAATTCTCACCACACTCTTCTATGAATGGATAAGAGAATTGGATGCTATCAAAGAGGTTTAGGGACTTTTAGAAGAGAGAAATCTGAACTCAATTTCAGAAATGAAATCTCAATACATCCAAAAGTGTCTTACAAGGTAAGGTTTACAAGTATATAGGAGTAGGAAGCTTAGAGAGCAAGCTAGCCTTGACCATGGTTCACTAGGAACCATGGTTGAGTCTAGCTAAACCGTCCAAGTTAAGAGGCTTGGAGAGCAAGCTTCTCACTTGGCTTGCTTGGTAAGCTAGCCAAGGAGAAGCTTGTGCTTCAAGCTTCAAAGCTTGAGGAGTGCCATAGATTTCGGCCAAGTGTGAACACAAGTGTGAACACAAGTAAGGTGGGCGGCCTCTTGGAATTAAATTACTCTATTCGGTTTGAAAATGGTTAATTTGGTTTAGTTAGGTTC